CCTGAGTGGGGTCCAAAGGACAGTGTCACTGGGTGTCCCTCGGTGTGGCTAGGATCAGAGCAGCCGGAGCAATCAGCCAGCGTTCTCTCGGCTTCCTGCCCCAGCTCTCTGCGCCTGGTGTGAGGCATGGACGCACGCACAGGTGCCCAGATCCCAAAGGGCCCTGTGACCAGCGGCTCCTCTTGCATTTCCCCCGAGCTCCTGGTGGTGCCCGCAGTGCTGAGTGTGGTATAGGACGAGGTTCCTGGGAATTATTAGTTGATATTCCAGACTTGCCTGAACAGCTAGCTCTACGGCAAATGTAGATTTGATAGGTCCTGATTTTCCCTGCAGTGTTTTCTGGCCCTGGATTTGGAAATGGGTCTTGTGCCTTCACAGAGGCAGGCTGGCCCAGCTCCCCTGAGTGCTAGGAGCTGTGTCTGGAAGCTTTCTCACGAGACTCTAACCCGCGACTGGGGTCACGAAACACAGCCAGGAGAGAAGCCAGCGGCATAAATCCGCTCATCCGGGTGGAAGGAAAGAGAGTGCGAATGTCCCCAGGAATCTCTGATAAACGCACAAGTGTTTCGGGAGACCCAAACCCTCTCAGGAAACTGGAAAATGACCCGCCAGAGGTACGGGTCTTCTAGCGCCAGGGCCTCTGTCTTCTGCAGTTCCACTGAGGTGTGGTCCACATACAGTTAAAAACTGCACATATTTGATGTGTGCAATTTCAGAACTGTCGACCTATGGATGCATCCAGCCAGTAATCATGACAAGGAACACATTCACCACTCTCAAGAGTCCTCATTTCCAGAATTTTCTAAAAAGATTTTTATTTATTCGAGAGGTAAAATTACAGACACAGAGAGGGGGTGACAGAAAGAAAGGTCTTTTATCCTCTGGTTCACTCCCCAGATTGCTGCAACAGCCAGAGCTGGGCTGATCCGAAGCCAGGAGTCAGGAGCCAGGAGCTTCTTCTGGGTCTCCCATGTGGGTGCAGGGGCCCAAGGACTTGGGCCATCTTCTGCTGCTTTCCCAGGCCATAGCAGAGCTGGATTAGAAGTGGAGCAGCTGGGATGTGAATCGGTGCCCATATGGGATGCCAGCGCCACATTTGTAAGCTCAGCCTACTATGCCACAGCTCTGGCCCCCCAGAATTTTATATAAGTGGGACCCCATGTGTAATGTTGGGGCATCTGGCTTCTTTTACCCAGCATAATTACTTTGCCTCGATCCACAGTGCTGTGTGTTCAGAAGTTCACTTCCTTTTATTGCTGAGTATACTTCATTGTGTTCCGTGACTTGTTTATCCATCCAGCTGGGGATGGGCCTGAGGGTTGTGTTTGGATTTGTTTTGCATTTGCGTGCAAGTCCTTGTTTGGACATGTGATTTCATTTCTCTGGGGAAGTGACTGGTCAGAAGTGAGTAGGTATCTAATTAGTTTTTTTAGACTATTTGATAAATTGTTTTCCAAAGTGGTTGTGCCATTCTACATTCCCTCTGGCAGGGCACAGGAGTTCCGGTTGCTCCACATCTTCGCCTACATTTGGCACCATCACGCTTTAATGGGGGTCATCCTAATAGGTGTGTAGCAATATGCACACAATTGCTTTGTTTTTGCATACGGGACTGTGTTTCAAACTGTGATTTGGAAAACCGATTCTAGGATCCTCATCTACAAGGCAACACCCATCTATCTCCAGTCAGCTCATGTATTGTGTTGCAATTCTGGGTCTAAGACCTCAAGCGATGAGTGTCCTGTTTCATCTCTGAAGGAAGCTATGATTGGCGTTCGCCTGAATAGCAGGCGCTGCCTCTGCTGCACCTGCTCCTGCACGCCCTCCCCCACCCCCAGCTCCAGGTGACTACGACGTCTGAGAGCAGAACCCACAAGTGCTCCTGCAACTTGTTCCGCGTGCTGCCGCCCTGCTCGCTGTTCTGCGTGGGTGGTGGTCTCTCCCAGCCTCTTGCTGGGCACTAGTAGGGTAGGACCAGTAGGACTCTTCCAGGGCCCATTGATGCCAGGGGCTAGGGTCCTGCCACCTCCACCACTTAGTCCTGTTGTTTCAGTCCTACGTGAGTCGCTATGGCTCTGCACTGGTGGCTGCTACTGAGATTCCGGTCCCACACTGGTGTCCTGCCCCGGTGACACTGAGGAAGGTCTGGGGTGGGGAGAAGTGGTTCTCCCTCCACAAGCCACATCTTGCCAGAAGGGGCCTCAAAGCAGAGAAATGGAAAGATCTGTTTTGCCCTCTAGCTCTTCTTCCCTTGAAGGTGCACCCTCCTTAAGATGAAACCCGAGGTTCCCATTGCCTAAGAGATTTGCCTTAGATCATCTCTTGCAAAGAGAGCTGAAATGGGAAAACACTTCACGCATCGCTCAGGGTTGGGGAAACAGGCCGAGGACTGTGCTTTCCTGGCTGTGCAAACACCCCAGACTGCACCAACAGACAACCCTAAGGGCACAGGCCAGCCCTTCAACCTGGCCTCTTGGGGCGATCGGGAGACGCAGTGACCATGAGATGGACGAGGCTGCGGGGCCACCTGCAGGCTCTTCACAGTCAACTCTTTATAAGTAGCAGGTGTCCACGCCGCCACCACGACTTTCAGTAGAGTACGGCAGTTCCATAAACCAATGGTGTGGCCGACTAGTATCACGATCCAGTATCGGGCACTACTGCACCGTTGCAGGGCTGGCCTTGCAGTAGGTAGCTCCGATCCTCCTCCAGCGCCACCGATGCCCCAGCAGGGGGTCGTGCCGGGACTGCGGCTGGATACAGAATCTTCAGGTGACAGCGATTTCCCAGCTCCATCATGACCCCACAGGACCACACGGTCTGCGTGGTGCACCTCGCGCTGAAGTCCGCCATGACAGCCAAACTGGCACTGCTTCTGTTGTGTGTTCGCGTTGTGTATGCAAATGCAGGCACGCTTCGAACTCAGATATTACCTACAGCAGCTGGAATTCTTGTAACCCAAGGCAGCGAAGGTAATCTTGAAGCCACTTGGGGAAAAACAAAACTGTTTAATATGGGATTCAATTTCATGAGGCTGAGGAGCAAAAATTTGTAGGAGCTGCTGAAGACAAGCCGTGAAAAAGAAAATAAAAATTTAATCAGCAGCAGTATCAAAGGTTAAAAAGCAATTAATATTAAACACAAACAGTAAGGGATATTGTTCTTTTGTTTTATTTTTCAATGCCACACTGAGTAGGTCTTGACTAATTTTTTTTCCCCTTTGGGAAAATAAAGACCCTTTTACAAAAAAATACTTTTTATTAGCTGCACTGACTATACGTGATGGAAACAAAAAGTCTCATTCTTATTGCTGGGAAATCCAAAAGTACAATAATACTATTGAGAGCTCAGGTAGCAGTTTTTGATTTTCAAAACATTTTGACAGCAGAAATTTCCTGAAGCCTTAAATAAAAGAATTGCATGCCTCCCAGAGCTGCTGTTTCTGAGTTTAACAAAGAGGGCGACTGGGGAGACCGCTCGTTGGCCAGAGCTGTGAAGGACACTTCATCGGAAGCTGGGCTCTCCTCGTGTGGTGTTGGAGTAGCGTTCAAGGAGAAGGTGTAGCCGTGCCAAGAACGCATAGCACCGGGACAGACAATGCGTCATTTCTCACACGTGGGACCTTGGTGGCACTCACCGAACAGACCTTCTCGACCTGCAAGCCACAAACCGTGTAATCCAGAACCCTGCAGACAGCTTGAGAGTTCAGGTTCTCAGCCCATAGAGCTTTTTTTTGTTTTGTTTTGTTTTGTTTTGTTTTTTGACAGGCAGAGTGGACAGTGAGAGAGAGAGAGACAGAGAGAAAGGTCTTCCTTTGCCGTTGGTTCACCCTCCAATGGCCGCCGCGGCCGGCGCGCTGCGGCCGGCGCACCACACCGATCCGATGGCAGGAGCCAGGAGCCAGGTGCTTTTCCTGGTCTCCCATGGGGTGCAGGGCCCAAGCACCTGGGCCATCCTCCACTGCACTCCCGGGCCACAGCAGAGAGCTGGCCTGGAAGAGGGGCAACCGGGACAGAATCCGGCGCCCCGACCGGGACTAGAACCCGGTGTGCCGGCGCCGCAAGGCGGAGGATTAGCCTAGTGAGCCGCGGCGCCGGCAGCCCATAGAGCTTTTAACAAAGCCTCCGGTGGAGCGAGGAAATGGGCATTTCAGAGCCACCCTGCCCTGTACCCGTTCTGTAAGCGTGAGAACAGGAGTCTCACTGCCATTGTCGCGGGAGCCGCAGTGAGCTGTCGTATCCGCTGGCACTGCCAAACATGTATGTGAGTCTGAGCTGAGCCCCCAGGGCGGCGCCCACCCAGCCGTCTGCGATACTGTGTCGGCACTTAATATGTTTTTAAATGTAGGAGCGGCATTTGTCACAGCAATTAAGATGCACTTGGAACGCCTGCCTACCCTATCAGGGTGACTGTCTGGGTCCTGCCTCCACTTCAGAGCAGCTCCCTGCCAGTGCGTGGGAGGCAGTAGGAGATGGCCAGGCGGCTGGGTCTCTGGGAGACCTGGACTGAGTTCCTGGCTCCTGCCTTCAGCTTGCCCCAGCCGGGCTGCTGCTGGCATTCGGACAGTGAACTGCACACAGGAGACCTCTGACTGTGTCTCCTCTGTCTGCCTCTCAAAGAAATGTCAGCAAATACATTTCGAGATAAACTTCAGAATTTATTTTGAGCAGCAGGGACCCAGTTACTCAAGCCGTCACCTGCTGCCTCCCAGGGTGCCCATAGCAGGAGGCTGGAGTCAGGAGCCAGCGAGGGGACGCAGACTCGGGGCACTCGGCATCCTAACTGCCAGACCAATGCTCGCTCCTGGGTCGTCATCGTTAATCATCTTGTAAAACAGCAGCCTCTCCATCTGGAAACCAAAGCTGTACACACACACGTCACACATTTTTAGAAGGTTTATTTTATGTATTTGAAGGGCAGAAGCCCATATGGGATGCTGGCATTGCTGGTGGTGGCTTTACCCACTACACCACCACGCTGGCCCCAACACATTTGGTTTTAGCCTTGTGCAGTGGCAGGATCGTAGCCAATGAGGTTTATCCGAGGCATGATTATTGCTCATTGAAAACTTTTCCCAATACCCTGCCATGATGACTTGAAACACATTTGATTTAAAGGGCCACACTTTTACAGACTGATGGCCCAGACTTTGAAGAGCAGGGTCACAGGACTTCTTTCTTTTATTAAGTCCCTCTCTAAAAAGATCGATTGCTTCACTATGGATAAATGGGAGCATTGATTCAGGGGCTATTGGATTTACAACCGGAGGGTGCCTTTAACTGTGCCACCTGGAGACACCCTAGATGAGGGTCTGAGCTCCCCACGGTGGCGGTGGCAGGTGGGGCAGGGGAGGCAGAGGAGTCTAGGGGACACAGTGTGCGATGGGGATCAGGTTTCTGCTTTGTCTGGCACCTCGTTCTGTCTGTTTAACTTTAGCTTGTGTTTTTGGCATATTCTGCCTTTCTTTCGCTCAAAGAACACTGCTAACTCTAATAGATCTTGGTTAACTGTCAAGCGGTACCCATGTGCATCTTCCCATCAATTGAGGGGAAGCTCGGACGATGGGCAGTTGACACTGACGGGCAAAGACACTGGCCTTCTGTCACTCTGCGCAGAGGCCAGCACCACTTGATACATGCAGACAATGAAGACGAATACCGCCAGGGTTGTTGCTGGTACAGGAGGACAAGCTGCCGCCTGCCCGCGATGCCGGCATCCCGTGTGAGCGCTCGTTCAAGCTCACCACTCCTCTCCCCTCTAGCTCCCTGCTACGCACCTGGGAAAGCAGCAGGTGACGGGCCAAGTGCCTGGGCCCCTGCAGCCACGTGGGAGACCCAGATGGAGTTCTTGGCTCCTGGCCAACACAGCCATTTGGGGGAGTGAACCAGAGGTTGGAAGATCTCTCTCTCTCTCTCTCTCTCTCTCTCTCTCTGTCTCCCTCTCTATGCTTTTCAAATAAATAAATCTTTAAAACAAAACGAGCAATTCCACTGAGTGGATGTAGTTTCCAGGAAAGATGCCTGCACAGGATTAGAAAGAACAGAGAAGCAACGGGCACCTGGCTGATGGAGGCGGAGGTGGGATTCCGCTGCCTCGCCTCATGCTCTCGTGTTCCTCTGACGAGGTGTCTGGTGGGCGCAGTCCTCCTATTGTGACCATACGCAGCCCCCCATGCCGTGCCCGTGTGGGGGTCGGTGGCACCTGGGAGCCCCCTGAATGTCATAGTGCCAAGAGCAGCACCCGCAGGGCAGCTTTTATGGACCTTGGAGGGAGAGGCAGCTGCACAGGGCCGCTGAACCTCTGCAAGACGCGATGCGCCCAGCACGGCGCCCTCCCGTCTCCTGCTCACTTCCTGTTTGCTGCTTGCCAGACAAGTGGGACAGTCCCCCCCCCCACCAGGGAAGGAGTGACCCACCCCGTGCAGCTTCGTCCCCATCTGAAACTGCACACACGAGAGATTTGCTTTCCAGAAAACGAGAATGTGTCCCCAGAATGACCCCTTACGGCAACAGCTTCTCCTGAAATTGTTCTTCCCTCCCACGACCAGGAAGGGAGAGGCAGTTACAGACAGTGAGAGGGAGAGACAGAGAGAAAGGTCTTCCATCCACTGGTTCACTCCCCAAATGGCCTCAATGGCCGGAGATGCACCAATCCGAAGCCAGGAGCCAGGTGCTTCTTCCCGGTCTCCCTTAGGGGTGCAGGGGCCCAAGCACTTGGGCCATCTTCTACTGCTTTCCCAGGCCGCAGCAGAGAGCTGGATTGGAAGAGGAGCAGCCGGGACTAGAACTGGTGCCCAAATGGGTTACTGGCACTGCAGGCAGAGGATCAACCTACTGTGCCAAGCCGTGCCCTGGGAGAGAGTTTTAAGAAGAGCTCTGAGCGCCAAGCGTGTCAATCAACCAGCCCCACCTGCCTCCCTCCGAGCGGTGGCTTCCCTGGAGCCACTACACAGTGACCTTGAACTGAGGCTCTGCTGAACCTCCGTGTGGAGAGCCGGAGCTGGCTGATGAGCTGGGCGCTTCCCTGGCAGGAAGGTAAGGTGGACAGCACGGATGGAGCCGGAGAGATTCCAGGGCCCAGCCAGGGAGGGCTTCCGTTTCCCACAGGGACTTCAGGGAGGAAAGGCGGAAGGTTGGCCGCGTCAACGTGAACCATGAACTTGGTATGGAAAGGCTGTTGGGCTGGGATATTGGTGGTTTCCATGAAGATGAGACTTTGAGTGTTGGACTGTGCATCAGGCACTATGCCAAGTGTAAACCCATCCCCCTAGGGGGTGCCTACCGCCATCCCCGTCTACCGATGGGCACGCGGAGGCTCTGGGGAGCCACCTAACCAGCCTAGTCATGCAATGGTCAGGCAAGTGGTCGATCCAGCTTGCGGTGTTTGACCCTCAAGCTCACGTTTGCAAACGTGGTGCTGGGAAGACTCGGGCATTTCTGAGGGCCAGGGAGGCGAATGAAAGGGTTCCGGAGACGGGAATCTCCAGAGCGCGGCGCCTGGGCTCCGGGAGAGGCGGGCTTGCCTGACCGAGCTCTCGGCTCAGGTTATCTCAGGGCTGCAGCTGGCTCGAGCGCTTCTGTTTCTCTCCAAGTTCGCCAAGTCACTGTGACAGGTAACCTCGGCTGCGGTGCCCGGTTGTTCGGTCAAATGCCAGCCTCCGGCGGCGGGGAGGAGAGGAGCCTCTGAATCAGTCACTCTGGTGAGCCTACATGACACAGGCAGGCTGTGGGGACTCAGTGCACGGCCTCAGTCCTGAGTTGGGGTTCCCAAAGAAGAAGGGCGCTGGCCTTGAGTCTGCGGGGTGCTCCCACTCGTGCCTGCAGCCTCGGCTCCTGCCTGGATTCCCAGCCCGGCGGCTCGCCCCGTGAATGCTGGGCTTCAGAGCCAGCGCAAATGCGGGAGCCAATTCCTGAGAAGAAAACTCTGTCTGTAAGTGCATCTCCCACCGCCCTGTTTCTCATCTAGCGCAGAAGTAAAGAGGACACAGGCCGCGCCTTCACAAGGCTCATCGGCGCGTAAGGAAAGTCACGAATGGCGAAAGTCGGACCTCCTCGGCCATGCGCTGTTTGGGTCTCGCGTTGAATCCTGGCTCCCGTGGACCGGGTCGCTCACACCATCTTCTCTGTGCTTGGTAGACTCAGCCCAGCCCCCAGCACCCACCTCTCACTACTGCACACATTCTGTGAGCGGCAGGAGGCTTTGGACACGTTAACACGTGTGTTCGCTATGTCTTCCCTTCTCCTTCCGATTCCTATCTTCTTTGCCTCCAGGGTCGTCTGGATTTCTCAGGAAGCCCTCCATCTCCCTGAAAGGCGAGTCCCGGGGTGGAGGGGTCTTCGGGACTGCTGTGGACAGTGGGGCTCTCCCCGCCATCCAGGGCAAAGGGACACAGGTGTGGCGTTCTGCAAGCGATGGGGCTGCTGCTGCCCTCTGCCCCCTCATCTCCTACAAGGCTGGGCTGTCCCCATCTCTGTGAGGAGTGCTGCCCCAAAGCACAGGCTTGGACGGCGTGGAAACCAGGCAGAGAGGAGCCAAGGGCTCGTCAGTAGCCAGAAAGGGCAGGACCAGGCGCCTCCTGGTTCCCGTTACTGCAAAATCTCCAGTCCTCATCCTCTCCTGATCCTAAAAATAACAAGCATGGATCTCCAGGCAGAGGACTGGGGTTGGGCTCAAAGCTGGATTGAAGTCAATGGAAAGAAAATTCTTCCCTCACACACCAGGGTGAGGGGAAAGAGAGGGAGAGGGGGGAGAGGGAGAGGGAGAGGGATGCACACATGGACAGGAAGCGCTTCAGACTCTGGTCTTGGGGACGTTTGTGTAGACCTGACCGACGGACATCTGTAATCTGCAAGTCCAGGGCTCAAAAGCCTGATGTTCAGAAGTCAGAGCACTGACGCAGAAAGCTTTGGCTTTGGGAACGTAGGGGCTTTCTGGTTTTTCAATTAGGTACACTCAAGCTACACACACATACACGTGTGCACACATATGAAACTTACATGTGTGCACACACACGGTGTATCTGGCATGCACTAGGGCTCATTCTTTCTATGCTGGCCAGGATGGTGGGGGCAGAGGAACAGGAGGCTGTGGAAATGTGGCTAGAGTGCTTTCAACTTGATTTTAATTTGATTTTTACTTTTAACACATCTAATTTTCATAAAATAAATACACATTTTTATGATGCAACTAACATTTTAGATATTTTTTTCAAAGATTCACTTATTTGAAAGTCAGAGTTACAGAGAGAGAGGAGAGAGCGATCCTCCATCCCCTGGTCCACTCCCCAAATGACCACAATGACCTGAGCTGCGCCAGGCTGAAGCCAGGAGGCAAGAGTTTCCTCCAGGCCGTGTGTACACTGTAGGGTACATCAGCAGGGAGTCGGATCGGAAGTGGAGCAGCCGGGACTCGAATCAGGAATCAGTGCCCACACGGGGTGCTGGCGCGCAGCCAGTGGCTTTACCAGCGCCAGCCCCCAAACATTTGTTTTAAGGTACTGTGTTGCAACACAAAGTGATCTTCATGGTATGCAAAGTTAGAAATGTTTGGTATAGGCATTTTTAAAAAGCAAAATAAAAATACCTCCATCTAAATTAAGGCACATACAACCATCTATAGAGAAAAAATTAGAAGGAAAGAGGCAAAAAGGACGTTACTAGTGGGGGACAGCTTTGCACTTTGCCTTCTGAAATTAAGAAGCTATTTTAAGGACTGTGTATGACTTTTTAAAAGACAGCACCATGCAAGGAATTTAATTATTTTAATAGTCTCTGGACACCAGTGCTCTCGCACGAATACGCATTTATAAGCTTGCCTTGCCTCTCTGGCTGACTGTTTCCTGTTTCGACCGTCAAGTCATGTGGGCGTCAAGTCATTTCTGCCCGGTCTTTCCTAGATGAGGATTTACTCAAAGTAGAAACAGGGGCTGGCGTTGCTAACAGCGGGGTAAGCGGCTGCCTGTGACACCAGCGTTCCATAGGGCACTGATTTGAGTCCTGGCTGCTCCAGTTCTGCTCCAGCTCCCTGCTAATGCACCTGGGAAAGCAGCAGAAGATGGCCCAAGAGCTTGGCTCCCTGATACAGCTCCAGGCCCCTGATACAGCTCCAGGCTCCTTGCTTTGGTCTGGCCCAGTCACAGCTGTTGTG